CCCCCTACCACCCCCTACCATCCCCTTGTTCCAGACCCCTTTTCACTGCCGTCTTCTTCCATCCACAATTCAATGGAATTCCATTTTATTCAGACCTTTTACCACCCCGACTGATTTTCCATTTGTTCATTGATCAACTATCACCTGGACTTCTGCAAAATTATGATTTCAAGGGAAATAATTTGAATTATGAATTTTTTGACGCATTTTTCATTGTAATCAGTTACTAAATAATAAATTATAAATCAATTTTTGATATTGAAGAAATCGTGCAGTTTGAATCAATTAATAAATTACATTATATATATAAATCCCAGAGGAGGGATTACGATAATGAATGAATTTGTAACATTATTTTTTTCGTTGGTGTAACATCCAGGAAAATTCTTTACTGAATTTTCAACCGTGAATTTTCTACTGCGATATCTGAGGAAAATGACGCATTTTTCTCGATTTTATTCCCTCCTTTTCGCGATACTCGCATAAATCCATGTGCATATGACGGAATATTATGGCAGATCAGTAATGTATTGAGGGAGGTCTGGAAACGAGACGGATTCCACCTACTTCACCCACTCTCTGACGACGCGACCAAATACCGAGTCATGGCCAGTGATATTGATGTCCGATTTCAATCTATATTTTCCTCCTCGCAATTTTAATACTTACGGCTTCAGTTTACCCCGGCAGTAAATATTCAATAAAAATTGCATTTATTCGTTATTTTTCCATGGCTTTTGGTAATTACTGGAATATTCCCCTCGCCTTTGCAATAATTAAAGGCAAAATTGAATGAATCAATCGTTTAATAATCTACTACTAAAATTGAAAAATTAGCAATTGCTCTCTGGGTGCAATCAACTCTAACATGAGGTACACTAGAAATATATATTTATTTATAAACACGTAATGAAAAAGTACAGTTGTCTATTTACGGTTCTCTTAATAATTCAGAGACAGATGTTGCGGGAGTTTATTCGATTTGTTAGGACGCCATAAATCACTCATAACTAAAGGTGATTTATGGAGGCCCCAGTTATTTATGAATAATGAGGATATATCTGGATTTATATATCACGGAATAATGCAACGTCATGGGGGAATGTTACGTGGGGGTGGAGATCTGAATTGCTGCAATTGTTATTCGGCGGAATCAGTATTATTCAATAATAACTGATGAATCAGTATATTGATGGAATGGAAATTTTCTCTGTTTATTATATTATTATTGATAATCCCCTCTCCATTATTATCAACAACCCACGTCAATTGGAAACTGCGTTACTCTGCATTTATGACTGACAGATCTGTAACAATTTGTTATTGAATTAATATTTGAAGGTTAAACAAACAATAAACACAAGGGAAAATGGTAAAATTTCCCTGGAATTTCGCAACGAAACTAAGTTCAGCAATAAATTGAGACAATTTTCAAGTGATTTGGCTGATAAAGAAAAAATCACTTGATAATCTTGTTAACATAGATAAAGCATTATTTTTTTTTGTAGGGGGTGGGATAATCCGTGAGAATAGGTCCAGTGGAAAAAATAGCACCTGGACCACCAAGTAATCCGCCCTTGTTGGCAAACCATCCATTACCACTGAAAAAACCAGCGGGTTCTAGTCTGTCTGTATAAAATCCATCGTTGAACCCTGCGACGTGGAATAATCCATTTGATCCGAGTTGTCTACCGTTGGTTATATTGAATCGAAAATTATTAGGTACTGCTATTCCCAAATTCCCAAGGGTCTCTTTCAACTGAATCAGACGATCTGTCCAGAATTGTTGGGGTGAAAATTGAATGCGTTTAACCAGAGGTTCCAGCAGAGAGACAAATGGATTGGTCGATGGAGAAGAAGATGGAGGAGATTGACTCACGGTTGGTTGAGTGTCGGTGGTTGATTTTTCATTCACTATTTCCCTCGCATCGTTGGACAAGTCGTCAGTTGAGAGCGATGGAATAACGTTTTCAATTTCCCTGCTTTCGGTGCCTCTGGAATTTTTATCATCTTGAATCGTGGATCCAATCAATTTCAAGGGCCTCGAGTGCACCAGGAGACACTGGAGAAAAATATCGAACAATATTTATGATTTAAAAGTAATATGGAATTAATAATGTTTATCTTTCACTTTGGAATAAACACCCACCAACGACATGATGAAGAGAATAACCCACTTCATTTTTACAGCATCAATATAAATATTAATACAACAAATAAAATTGGAAAATCCACAAACGTTCAACGCGCAAATTCTATTGCCGTTCTGGAGTTATTTTCCGATGGAATATATAAGTTTCTCTCCTTCCAGTCATATTTCCTGGGTGGAAACTAATCTCATATGGGCGCCCGTATTTTGGTTGCGTAGTCGTTAAACAAATAACTACTGACTCGATTTTTTTGTCAATTTTACGCAACAATCTCTCCACACTTTTTATTTTTCCAAATGATCGCATAATAATGGCGTTATCGGTAAAAGTGAATGCGCGACGAGCAAAGTTATACAATAAATTCGATAAATATGAATTAGCTCATATTTTTTAAACTCTTTCCCTTTATTCGTGTTCTCAAATTCATGGATTCATCGGGTTGAAAATAAACCGAGAAAATAAATTCTGAAACCGGTTGAAATCCTGCACCAACTCGCCTTGGAGATCTCCAACAGTTTATTCAACCGGAATTTTTCCATGAAAAAGAAAAAAGAGTAGAGATGATAATGGAAGGTGAGCAAAAAGAGTGAAACTACCATTTTTCCATTACTCCACAAAGATATCTGAGAAGGTGCGAAGAAGATTATCGATTGCTCCACCAAGATGAAACCTCGTGATGTTTTTTACTTTCATTTTATTACCCTTGGATTATTCCGAGGGACCCTTTGACAATCTGGCCGCTCTTCTTTATTGGATGAGTATTTTTTTTTATTTATCCCAGGCTTCTACGATCAGATTGTCAACGGGAAAAATCGAACGTCGAAGGTCTCGTTCAAAGTTCCACCGGCTCCTCTTCCTTTTTATTACCTTTCTCAAGCTGTTTGACGTTTCGTGTAGAATTAATTGACTCATTTTGCTTCAGGTAATTTACAGAGATAACACTCGATTTTTCTACCGGTATTTCTCATACAACTCCACCACTTTCAACCAGGATATTCGATAAATTAATAATAATGAGACAACGTTGGATAAAAATCGTTATGTCATTTTTATGTCATCGTTGTAAATCGGGTTTTTGGTAATTCAAACTCCTGGAGAAGTGGAATGATAAATTTTCTATTGAAGTGGAACTTGAAGATCTGCGTAAAGAGAGAAACCAGTGTCTTGAACATAAATGTGTTGCCTCTTGCAGTTAGTATTAGTGGTGTAAACCTGAAGACGAAGGTAACCGAGGCAAAGACCTGAAAACCGTTACCTGAACACTACGAGGTTGTCTCCAGTCTCGTACCAACGAGTCTCTAGTGTCCACCATTCGAAAATTCATCCTGAACAAAGAAAAGGTTTTAATTTGAGTCAATTGATTTGGGATTTCCATCTCGCCATGAAGTTGATTTATTCTTGTCTCGCGGTTCTGCTGATGCACGGGGTGAGTCCAATCCAATTAAAACACTCAGCAGATAATTCAATCTTTTCATCAGCAGAAAATTCAATTTCAAAGTGATAATTTCTATTTTCTCACTCTTCCCTGAACCAATGGAATTCAATTACAAAGCGCATTCTCTCGATAATCAACCGGCATAAATTACCATTACAATTAATTATAATTCATGTTTATAATCTAGGGATTAATCAAATAATAAATGATCGAATTGATGAATTAATTAACTGAAACTTCAACTGAAGAACAAAATTCTCCATTAATTCCCCAAATTTGTATAATTCGAAAGCGAAAAAATTATTTTATACTCAATTAGCTTCATTGAATTCGATTGTGTGTCATAACTTCGAATCTAACGGATAGTCGGGCATAAATTCCCACTCGTCCGCGTGGACCGGCACTCCTTAAAAAACTAGTGTTAATTGATGAATAAGGAGAATTAAGTGATAGTGAAGTTATTGATCCATTACACCCAGGACATACCGTACATTTTCGATTTCCCAAGGGCACAGTGCCAACTGCAATTAGTATCCCCTCGTTGTTCGACACTTGCCCACTCCCTGTTCTACAGCTAACTGAGCGAATTTCATACTCTCCCAACTGGGTCAATGGTTTGAAGCCATTAAACCCATTGGGTCTACGAAGTTAGTAATGGAACTATGGATATTATCGATGTATTGAATAATTATTGCGAATTATTCTCTTGTGTAGGTGAATGGAGCAATCACCAGGAAGCAGCCGCAGTATTCAAAACCAATTTATTCAAACTCGTACTTGCCAGCTGCAATGCAGGTATTTTTACTGTAGAAAAACGAATCACTAGCTTTTTCCAGCGACAAAAATTTGTTAAAACTTGAAATTCTTCCCCTTAAAGTCATACAACTTCTAAATAAAAGACAAAAGGCTCTGACTTTATAGTCTTCCCTGAACTTCAAGCCAGTGCTCATTAAAAAAACTTGAGACTCACACGGTTAATTCCCTCATTAGAGCTGAGACTTTCGTCTTGAGCAAAATCTTGAAGACGACAGTGAAAACATCCGGAGTAGAACATCCTACCTGTTATGACTTTTAAAGTCACGAAGTTGATTAAAACTCCGCTATCTTCTCAGGTGATCTTCTACGCGGTAGATCAGATAAGAAGTTTTCCACCGGAAGGGGGTGAATTGGGGCCGTCGACGTCCCTTCCACCGACGAGTCCACATGCTCCAGGACAGCACCAGCCCACGACGACGTCCCCAACGCCAAATCCAGTTGTCCTTCTCCTTACACAAACCCAGAAGCCCCTGCTACAGGCAGTAATCGAAGAACAATCTCCCATTATCACCCAAAGTACTCCAACGATCGAGCAGAAGCCGGAATTGAGCGAGGAAACCCCGGAGGCTGTTTATGGCACTCCAGAAACCAACCACGAGACACGAGAGGCCTCCCAGGAAGTCCAGGAGGCCAACCAAGAAGAATCAGTTACTCCAGAGCCTCAGGACCTGCCGACGAACCCCAGTAGTGGAATTGATGGCTTTGGCAATTCTCCAGGATTCACTGGTGATTCGAAAATAACAACGAAAACCCCAAATGTTTCCACTGATTCAACGAAACTCCAAAATAAAGAGGGTAATTGGAGGATAGAACCCACTATTGACAGTGTAGTCCAGGAAATTTATGGAATCGTTAAGAAAAACAAGAGCAAAAAAGCTGGGGAGGGGTTGAAGGAATCACAGGAATTCCACGAAGGGAGAAGCAGTGATGATGGCAGTAGAGATGGCAATGGAGAGAATAAGGAGAACGAGGAAGATGAGGAAGACGAGAACGACGAGAATAGGTGAGTAAATGAGTAAATAGTTAAGTAAATGAGTTATTAGGAAATACTTACAATTTTTCAAAATTAAATAACACTTCCACAGGAGTAGAGGAATTTCTTTTACTTGGAATGGTGATTCAATTTTTAGTTGAGTAACTGAAGAGAGTAATTCCACTCATCTGGCATGCTTTGATTATAGATTTACGATGCTTGGCGAAAAGGTTGCCCAAGTGCCTAGACCGAGTCTATTAGCATACCTCAAACGAGCAAGGATAACTCTACGCTGCTCCCTGGAGCAATTAGCAATCCTGTATGATGCATTGAGTAAGGATGCACGAAGGCAGGGCTTCGTTAAGTTCTCTGGTTACACTGACGAGGTTCTGGGTACCCTTGAGACCAGTGCCGAGGGGGGAATTGGTCCACAACTTCAGCGACTATTGGAGAAAATCGTGGAGCGTAAGGAAGTCACCAGGGATGATACTAAAGCAAAGATAGTTGAGGCACTCAAGGATCTCAAGGAGCCTGCAAGCAACTTGAATAGAGATCTCCGACGTCTTCTCCCCTTAAAGTTCAAAATATGATTTCTCTATTGTTCTGGTTTATGCATTTCAATTTATCACACGTATTTTCGTATTTTTCGTTGACAATAAATTCATTTGATGAATAACTCCTGCTGTTTTACTGGGGAACAATGCGGACGTGAGGTGAATTCAAAGGGTTGAGCAATTTTTCGACGAACAGATTTGGAATCAGTGGCGCAGAAAAACACAGCTCAAGGCTCAATTCAGTGGAATTTCTCGAGTTATTTGATTCATCATGCGCCAATGGGGTTTTAGGGATATAAGAGGTGCTGGAGAATCGATCAGGTACTCAGTTTATCGAACATAATTCAGGAAACTTGTCGCTCATTATCGTGTAATCATGAACTTTTCGGGTTGTGCAGTGTTTTTTATTTTTTTCGTAAGTGATAGCACATTTCATTCGATTTATTCATCAATCCTACAAATATTCTCCCTGTTTTATTAATTAATCACAACAATTGTGGTGTTGTGATTAGTGGCATTGAATTTGAAAAAAAAAACAGTGAAAACCACTCAATTGGAAAGATCTAATAAGTTTGTTATCCTATTTTTTAATTAATTCGGTTTTTTGGGTTCAAAACATTTTTCTGTCCAGATTTTTCAAATCGATTCTGAGGCCTCACCCCAGATAACGAAGTTCGCACCAGTGGAAGATTGGATAGCCTTCAAGCGTCGCACAAGTGACATTAAACCTCTGGATAAATTCCTGGGAAAACTCCGTGCGACGTACGATTTTGTATTCCACAAGCCCGAAAACGTGAGCGACTTGGCGAAAATTCTGCCGAGTGATGAGCCCAGGGTTCCGTATACAGAGCCTTACAAATTTATTTTATCCAACTCCCAAGAGAACTCGGAGAATAAAAAAGTGGCGACTGATAGTCCTGTGTACGTGGAACTACTTGCGGATGAGATGTCCAGGACAGAATCTTCAATATCCAGAGTCTCCACTGATTGGGGAGATGAGGGGGTTGTGGAGCCCTTGAGTGAATTGGAATTACTCAGTGATAATGAGGACAATATCGATGGTTCTGTCGAGAGAGTCTACCCTCGCCCGAGCTTTCAATTACCCACTGCTATTGCCACGGCTTTTTTACGATGGCTCAGTTCAATTATTGGATTTATTCATGGACGATTCTGAAAATCACTAATTCAACTGTATAAATCGTTAAAAATTATTGCTAAACCATACCTATTTCATTTCTATTTGATTCATTCTTCTCCACTTAAAATAAACATCTGACAATTTTTATCTTTGCAGATAGTTTTTTTCAAAGTCACCAATAAATTTTACGTTGAAAATTGAAATTGAAATTGAAGATAAAACGATCAATTAAAAAAAATAATGACTGGAAACGATTTCCATGATTTGCCGTTCACAGTAAAATCTCGTTATAGCCACACCTCTCCTCAATTTATTTTCTCGCCTATCTTTCGTTGGGGAATTGAATTCCGGATCAACTGAATCCAAAAAATAAATTTCCCTCGTGTTCAAATACGCCATAAAAAAATTCATGCGACTATAACGAAATTCTACTGTATCAAAAAATCTAATCCTCGTCAACACGAATTTTAATCATCCAGAAACCACCAAAACATCATTAAGTTCGGGGGAACAAGCAAACCCATTGCCATTGTGTTGTAAATCAATGCTCAGTATGCAGAACACTTCGCCTTATCCCCACGTGAAACGCATGCCAATTTAGAGGCGTTACGAAGTAAACATCATTTCACAATTTGCTCCACTGCACAATCAACTTCCAAGGTCATCAGTTTAAAGACCCATTGCTATGAATGAGTTGATAAAAAAAAATCAATTTTTTACTACATTTATTTTATTGAAAAATAGTTCGGTCTGAAAAATACATGTAATTTATCATCTCGTTCTTACACTTAACTCTTTCTCCCCTTTTTGGCAATCGGCGTATTATACATAACAATTTGTTATTATCCTAGATATTGAGTGGTTTTTTTAGTATTGAAAAATCACCTAAAAGTGTACGCATTGCATTTTTACAAGGTAATTCACCCGGGAGAGATTATTGAAATTAATTAAAATGAATAATTGGGGTATAAATGGAGTATTGAATGGTGGAAGATAGAAATACTGGTGTCAATATGAGCAGAGTCTTTGGTTCTATCGCGTGCGATATTCCTTAGGACGTTATTAAGGCGCATTATTCCATCGGAATGAGCCTACAAGCAGTTCATTGCCTTTCAAAAGAAAACTTATTCACTCTTTCAACTTCACGATATGGAATTCCCGAAGTAATTAAATCTAGGGTGAAAATGTTCCACTGAACAAATTGCCGGCATAAAGTAATCCATGATTTTAGTTCAAATTCTCTCAAAGAAAAATCATTACTTTACGAAAATTGCGGATTAGATCAAAATATTCATCGGTTATTTGACTCCACTTCCGAATTTGTATATTTACAATTATTTTTAACTAATCAATTATTCATGGGAATTGGGTAGTTGCATGGTTTTTATCTTTATTGAAAAATGAAGTTTGAGGATCGAATGGAAAATATTGGAGAGAAAATCTATCGAGAAATCGTCTGGTCATTAAAAATCCATTCCAATATGGAGATTCTCTATTTCCTCTGACCTTTTTCATAATCAAAAAAATATTTGACAATTTGACAATTTACTTTTTAATCGCTCATCAATTTTCCAGTTTCGTTTTCCATCTAAAACTCATATTCAATAATAAAAAAATTATGCAAAATACCAATTTGCTAATGATAGAAGTAAAAAAGTTCATGATAAAAAATTTGTTCGTTCCTCTAAGTACACCAGCTTCTAATCACGATTACACGAAAATTCCTAATCTCACAAAGTCATTCACAACATTAATTTTATTACTCTTGCGACTAGCAGACTAGAAGTAATGATAAAAAATAATTGATAAAAGCTAGTCCACCAATGACATATTCTCGTGATGTTTCAAAACAGTCGTTCTTTTTTATCAATAAAAAAAATGTCGAATCAACAATTCCCCAGGGAGGAATTGATTGAGTGGGTAGAACTAGTCGCATAGAAAAAAAAATTCATCACCGATACGTATTAATTACTGGCACATTGAATGTTCTGCTTGAGCGATTAATAAAATCAATCGAACACGTAAGCTGATTCACAGCCCTTCGCGATAATAACGCAGTCATTTTCACCTATCGTATCAGAGATTCATTACTCCGAGGAACTTAAGAAACAATTCATTAAGGCAAATTTCTAATCGTAAAATCCTATTAGTACTATGCGAATGTTTAAAACTAATCGGGCAATTCTCTATGCACTCATTATCATATTAAAAAAACCATATGAACAGTTTGTTTTTTTTTTCTATTATTTCTAGTACCTTAGGAGTATCAACCATCGATTCAGTTCAGTTGAAGCTCTTAGTCTTATTCTAATGAGTCTTTGTTACTTCATTCAAACGATCCAGGTATCATATAACCAAAGGGTTGAATAAGTATTCGAAAATAAAAATCTGTCCAAAAGTGATAAAATGTAAGAGGTTCAGCATAACGTATTGGATAGACATCTGACAATCTCTCGAATGATTTCGTTTACGAGAAATAGCCAATGTAAATAAATCCAAAATAAAAAATAATGTCATGAGACAACATATCACCATTTTCTCCAATTCAATGATAATTATTTTCAACTAGAACTAAGATGGCATCAGATACCTCGTGTTCTGGGGCAATATTTCATTCATATTAACAGCGTGTTGCTGGTGTATTCCCTCTTTCATTTGCTCCTTGAACGCTGAATACGAGTGGATAAAATTTTGATCTTTCTGTAGATTCTGTATGTGCTGGAGGAATGTCGTATCTTGTTTCGCGAAATTACCGTCTTTCAGTAAAAAGCTGAGTTCGTGCTTGGGAATGTCCATTACCGTGTCACTGTCTTTAGGAGTTTCAGGGACACTCTGTTCCTTCTTGGGTTTTGATTTTCTTATTCCCAGGTGCGTTTGCGTGTGTTTGTTCAGATGATCTTTTCGAGAGAATGCTTTTTGACAGACTGTGCAGGTGAAGTTCTTGTCACCGGAATGGATGACGTAGTGCCTGGTCAGGTGTTCATTTCGCTTGAATGCTTTCTGACAGACTGGACACTTGAAGGGCCTCTCATCTGAATGTCCCCTCATGTGCTGATCCAGATGCTCTTTGCGTTTTAACATCGCTCCACACTCTTTGCATTGATATTTCCTCTCCTGAAAATTAAAGTACTGATTAAGACCTTCGATTCAACCAATTAATTTTTATCATAAAATAAATCACTCCAGGATTCATTTAACTCAATTATTCTTTACCTGCACATGTCCCTGAATATGCTGTTCGATTTCTGCTTTCTCAGCAAAAGCCAGTGTGCATTCAGGACAGCAGTAGAGCATAGAGCCATCCAGAGCCATTGCAATCTTAATCTCCCCGACTTTCGCCCTGAACTTCATCTTCTTCTCGACCTTCGGTGATTCCGTTTGCACCTGCTGCTCCACCTTGACGTTTTGTCCCTGGATGGTCTGAGCATTGGGGCTTGCCTCCTGATCCTCTATATGTACATTGAGATCAATGGGATTGATCTCCGCCATCATCTGCTCCGAGTTCATGTAGTTGCCATTTTGTGAGCTATTATTTCTAAAATTTGGCACACTTGGAATATTGAGAATATTATTCTGAGATTGATCGGACTTCTCCTCCTTGTACTCCTCGCGTTTCACGGGATCACCCTGAAGTTTTATGAGCTGCTGGAGGGTGAGGGGTAACGTTGTAGCCTGGAGTTTCTGGAGATATTCAGCCATCGCTGCACTCTGCTGCTGAATGTGGGCTGGGGATTCGTTGCTTTGGCTCCTTGAGTTTCCATTTGGCCGAATCTCCTCTTGTTTTATTGGGGGAGACTCCGGATGTGATGTCGGGGGAAGGTACATGTTGGGAAGTAGTCGTAAGCTATTGACACTGGACTGTCCACCAAGGAGGGAATTATTCTGACTGTAATTCGGAATATTTAGAGGCTGGAGGCCTTTTTCGCATAATTGCATTAAGGCGTTTGGATTAGGCCATGACAGAAGAGATCCTGGGTATTTGTTCGAACCATTTGTCAATGAATTTTGCTTTCCTTGCTCAGATGCTGCAGCTGTCGTATAAACACTACCCTGTCCACCAGTCTGATGCCCCAAACCTCCAGCATAATTCGCACTAGATACTGAATTTGTCGTTGACGTTAACTCCGAAAATTGTGACAGTCCGTGAACCCCATGAACTTCAGTGAAATTCATCTTATCTTTATAATAAACAATGCGTTGCACAACCCGCCACAATGCAACGCCAATGTTGCGTCTTAACCTAGAAATCACAAACGACACCAAAACTCAATCCAGACTCCAAGATTCAGTCGATATTTTCCTTGCACTCTGATTTTCACTCATCATTTCATTCATGTTAGAGTTATTGAATTAATCACGATGATGACGGAGACCTTTGGAAGATGTGAATTGAAGAAAGGGAAAAATTAATTGTTAACGAAAATTCTGTATGGGGACAGAGCATTCTCGCCGCGTCTTTCCAATATGGCGGAAAAATGCATTGAATCATCTGTCGACAGATGGCGAATTCCAGGAATTCAGTGTCAATATTGTGTTTTTTTTTCAGAGCAATTGAGTTTATCAATGAGTTTCACACCCAAAGGGACACAAATTGTTTACAACTGACTGATTCATTGCTCCAAAAGAACGAGGTCACGAAGGCCATGAGATTTTGTTTGGGTCTTGGGTTGAGTATTGGAGCCGAGGATTAAAGGTTAGTAAACACGTAAACAAAACAATCGATAAATCCGGATTGATGCATTTCGGAGCGAGTGCATTCGTTCTGCAATCGAAATATTTTGAAACATATTTTATCTCGATATTAATTTGCTCCTTGGAAAGGGCCGAAGATTTTCGAGATAATTAATTACATTTTTTTTGTATTATTAAATTTTTCACTGAATCAATAAGGAACAGAAATACGTAAAAGCAAATTCGTTATTCAACTGATTCTAAAAAATAACAAACTTCGCGTGTATGGCAGATACCTACACCTCAATAGTCGATATTTTAAGGAAGAAAAGTCGTTCAATCTTATCAGAGTTAGAAAAGAATTCCAGGCTCGTTGAGGATGGAATAAGGAAATTGAAAATAAAGAGCGTGAATTCCTGCAGGGGCTGCATCTCGGAGGCCTCGCCATCCTGGAAGATTCGCAACGATTCGACAGGTGTGAATGACCTTCTCAACCCTTCGAACCGAGACATGACAGTCGGTGGAAGAATTCTCATCTCCTCAAAACGCCCGGGGCTTTCCTTGGGCCCGAGAAAACCGGTTCCCGGATGTTACTGCACTCGGAGACCCAAGAAAGTTCGATACAGATCGGTGAACACGATTTGCAGACCCATTGAGCCTTGCCACTACTGCAGAAATCATACCGATGGACTTTCCATCCTCCAGGATGGACTGGAAGCTCCTGAAGCACCAGTGTCTCCAGCCCTGAGTAATGAGACCCTGCAGAAGGTCCAGAGCATTAGGTACACTCCGAGGTCAGAATTCCTCAGGAAAGTTCAGCGAAAAGTGTCCGAACAGTCGATCCAGGAAATCAGACCAGAACATTCTCCAGGTTCTCACTCATTACCACAATCATCACGTACTCTGAATATAAATCAAGAACAGAATGGAATACGTGAGACGAGAGAGTCTGGAGGTGCATCCAGTGAAAAAATTAAAAGAGCCGGTGCATATCGGGAGAGAAATCAGCGAAATGGAGTCGTAAATATTGCGAACGACTCGACAATAACAGATTCCCATCCGAGGGAATTAATAGAAGTCCCAGTTCAGGTTCACAGGTCAGACACTTCATCAATCACTCCAGAACTGCATGACTCTGATGACGTAATGATCGATAGATCTCGTAAATCTAAAAGTTCTTCTAGAATACATCAAAGAGAGTTTTCCCCGGAAATTGAAACAATTTTACCCTCGAGGGTTTTCCATAAATCAAAAAGTATCGCGAAGAAAACGATAAGTTCGACGAAACGTGATGATAAGGGGAAGGAGCACAAAAGGGATAAGTCGAGGGGAAAGAGTGAAGTCGTGAGAACTTTGAGTCAAAAAAGTTGTCATGACGTATGTTGTGAAGTGAATGAGAGGCGAAGGAGTTTAAAAAAATCCAGGGAATGCTGTCGTCACGATGAATATTGTCTCTCATGTTTGGCATCAGGAGTGATTCCCCTGGATGAGGACAGGCAGACGCGAGAGCTGAGAAAATTCAGAGAGAAGAATTATTTTGATACACACGAATCTAGTCAGGCTATTTCCATATCTGAGTCGTCAGGATCACTTGAGCAATTTGAATTGAACAGTCGACTTTTTCCTGAACCCGTGGGACGGATATCCAAAGACAATATCATGGTGTCCATGCCAGTCTGTGCAACCACCCAGATGAAGAGGATTCACTACTTTCCTAGGAGCATTGTGAGGGAGGGCAAGAAGTCCATTGATAATTCCTCGAAGAAGAGACACAAGGGTTGCCCCCTCACTGGTCATGCTATCGATCTGGGAGTCCTGAAAACTCCATGTCCAGCTAATAGTCTGGCCCTCAAACACCAGAAGGGCGTTGTTTAATTTTATCAAGTGATGAATTCCGACATAAAATTATAAAATCGATAATTCCAGAGAAAACTCAATATTCATCATTTTCACAATTCAAAACCCACAATTTATTTTTTTAAATCATTGTATTTACTGACCACTATAATTAATATATATACAAAATCCTGTCGTTCCAATCCTTCTTATTAATCTCAACATTATTTTTTTTGTAGATTTGGTGAATGGGGATTTGGAGATTATTGATGAATTTTTTATCGAATTCGATTCGATTTTCATATGTAATGAATTTCTATTGTGCACTGAACTCTGATTAAATAAATAAGATTCAATTATTCCCAATGAAGTAATCTTTGATAAACAATTTTTTTTAATTCTCATTGTGGTATTTCCGTAACATTTTTTCTTCTGTTTGTTGAATGGTGTGACATTGGGTTTCTTCGAATCGCTTTGTCATCAAAGGACTTCATAATTCAAGAGTTGTTAATTAGCATTCATGCTCATTACCTCGAAGTGCTCATTGACAGGTAAGTAATTGAGTTGCAGGTAATAATTCAACGTGATCTCAATTATAACAGATTTTTTACAAACTCGTTTGATCCACTCGCAATATATTCCAATCGAAATTGTTATTACTGATATGCCACAGATTCAAAATTGCTCATAAAAATAAATCCCCGCAATCATACATCATTACGAAAATTAAAAACTGATATTGATTGCTGTGGAAGAATAATTACAGTAATTAACAGTGATAATCTTCTCGGTGAAGGATGTCTAGTAATTATTAATGAAATTAGTAGCAAAGAGGTAAAAATTAGTAGCAAAGAAATAAAGAAATTTGGAATGTACACTGGGAGAAATGATGAAAACAGGTTTTCACGGATTTTCTTCATTGCCTCATTTGGATTGAGAAAAAATCTGTGGTCGTAACAAGGACAAAGTCTGATGCAACAGCGGATTGTTTTCTTTCGTCTTGTATTATAATTGCTGAGATATTATTTGTTAAACCGTCGAGGAAAAGAATTCCGTGGAAAAATCCCAGCGTCAATGACGACAAAAAATTTCTTTGGAAAACTAGTACTGAATTATTATTTGATCTCACATCATCTCAGTTTTGATAAAATAAAACTAATTATGCAAAAAAAATGGAAGCAAGGTGTCTTTCATGTCGATACAATTACAATCTCCAGGAAAATCCACTCGAGTGTGATTTCCATTTTCTTCGTGAATATTACCCCGATCTTCTTGGACATCACCTGGAGGGGAATGCATTTAAATGCTGTGCATCATTGATCAAGAGACAGTCTTCATGTGATTCCACCAACGAGAAAACATCGATTTCAGATACTCCAAGACGTTAATGTTCAATAAATCAATAAATAACGATAATAATTAACAAGATAATCATGGGCATTAGTACCGGAATTATTCTCCTCTGCTTTGCGATAGCATACGGCGCAGATTTACGTACGTGAATTTTTTTATAAAACCTTAAATGAAAGATCGCCCGAATAATTGGCTTTTTCGCAGCTTCAAGCTTCAAAATCTGCAAGATGAATGATCCGAATCTGGAAGAGTGCTTCGCTGCAGCAGCCCAACAGGCAATTATTGCCATGGCACCAGGTAAATTTCGACAATTCAATTGTACTTTAAAAAATAATTTACTGAACTGTTCTCATCGATTTAACTTGATGAATTATTTTTTTCTCAATGGCGAATTAAATAAAAAAATTCTTGATTGGAGTTTGCATTACGTTTTAGGAATTAAGAGTCTGAAATTATTGCCTATCGATCCACTATCAGTCGATAAAGTGACAATTGGTGAAGGTGGGGGCGCAGTTCGTCTTAAACAGTCATACAAAAATATCAAGCTTTATGGGCTTTCTAAAGGTCTTGAAATATCAGATTACAAGTAAGAAATTATTCTCTGTGAGATTATCAAATTTATTCCCCAGCCTGCAGTAATTTCGTAACGAATAGCATCCAAAAGTGTTACCGTTAATTCATTGCCTGATTAAAATAGAGTACTCTTCCTTTTATTTCTCATTTGATCCCAGGGTAGATCTACCTAATCTCATCTTCGAGTCAAACTCCTTCAATCCACAAGTGGATTTTGTCGCTGATTACGAAGTGGAAGGAAAAGTCTTGCTTCTACCCGTTCATGGCCACGGACGATCCAACATTACGATGTGTAAATTGATTATTTATAATTTTGCAATAATTACTCACCCTTACATACAACAATCCGAGAATTAATCTGAAGATTAATTTCTCCAAAAATCGATTGACAATAATCAATAAGGTATTTTTTAATAGAATTTGCTAAAATTGCAGTGAATCTGAAGACAAAAAATAAATTCTCCGGTGAGAAATACGAGAAAGACGGTGAGACCTACATGAGAATAAAAAAATACAAGGTGAAGTTCAATCCCGAGAAGGTTCTCCTGAACTTTGAAAACCTCTTCGATGGCAATGAAGCCCTGAGTAAGCAGATGAACGAGTTCTTGAACGAAAATGCAGACACAATCTTCAAGGATCTCCAAAGCTCGTACGAGGAGACTTTCGGTCTCGTATTCACCGATATGGGAAACCAGATCTTCAGCCGAGTGCCATTTACGAAAATTCTCCCAGAATCGTAATCCCCAAAGCCGAGGGGTAATACCATGTAAATACATCCTCTAAATCTCACACTTTAGCTAGAGAAAAAAGATAAATAAAATGCAAAAAATATCACTTGAAAAGAAACAAACAGGCATTTATTCACAAGAGGCAGGTGTAGCTACATTATTTCATTCGGTTTGCTTTATAATATTCTTGGTAAATTTTTTTTTACGTTTTTTAATCCATTTTTTACGATTTCTGTTATAATAATCGGTTCGAACCGACTACGCATACGAATGGGCGTGTACAGTGGGCGGGTGCATATCAAAGTGAATTTTCCTCGACTCTTTCTCTCATCTTTCACTCAATAAATCTCACTTTATAACTCAATTCTTCCTTTAAAAGCTCATCACTGTGCATCAACCTCTTTCACCATGAATTAACGTCGAAACATTGTCCATTAAATCTCATTGTCCCCTTACGTACGTAAAAAATTTAAATAATCAATAACAATGCGCGAAGGATGATAAATTTTAATGATTGGACTCGATTGATTAATCGGGAGGGGTCAGGATAGGGGGGGACAACACAGAGAGGTTTTATTTTTCATTTAAAACCCTAGAATAATCGTCGAAGCTTTCGTGTTTTTCTCCTTTTGTGCAGAACAATGATTTTTCATCTTTTCCTATATCGGTAATGCATTAATAATTCATCTTTGTTTTTTTTTCTTTGTAACCATACAACGTTAGAGGGTTATTAAAATTCACAGTTAAATATATTAGATTTCGTCACTAATGCCTATCATTGGCTGCGATATTCTCTCATCATTTCACGTGACTCTGAATTGTCCTTGGGTCTCTGTTATTTGTCTCAATAATCTCTCGATTTATAATTCACCGAGAGAGCATAAGCTAATTTGCACGAGTGTTCTGTGTCTCGTTTGTATCAATAATTCCTCCCTGAATAACACTCCATTTGAATCTCGTGCTGGTGCATTTTCATCTTCTCAGTCCTCAATTAAACTATAAACACGTACGGAAAAATATCTACAAATATTTCACCGTGTTATCCATGAAAATTTTCCCTCCGGTTCTCACGTTATTTTAAATTAAATTTGAAATCCCTAGAGGGACACACAGGGGGCGGATTTACATACACAGCGCAATGCTCATTATTCACCTAATTAATACGTTAATATCCCTCAGCTTGCCAACGGTTGATCCCCCCTTCCGGCTTTTTCAACTGTATGTTTATTGTTCGGACACGATTATCGGGTTAATCTCCACTGTTTTCATCATTTTTTGAGTATTGACAATTTATTGTTCGTATGTACGCTGATGTATGGAATGAAAGTAAAGCGATACGATAATTTTTCATCCAGCGAGTGACGCACATGTCTCCGATTTTATCTCCCAAATATGTCTGTCAAACGCAGTATGAGTGAATTTTTAATATAATGCTGTGGCGATTCCGTGATTAAGGTCTAATTACACAACACGTGGTGATCACGTTTCGTATTTAGTTTTGGTATTGAGTTGATTCCTTCGTATTCGAGATTTTACATGCGAATACGAGGGAAACTACTGAGACATTTTATTCATGCCAAAGAAATTCACTGGTAGGTTTCGAGACCTGTGGACATGTGTTCAGTCGTTTGACATAAATAATTAGCCTCCGATGTATTGTTATGTAATATCATCTATCCGTGATTGCACTAATGGGTGAGTATCGAGTGTCGGAGATATCTCAATCGATCTCGTTAATTATCTTCCTCGAATCGAGTACTTTTTCAAGTCAAAGGTTTGTATTTACAACGATGATTCAATCACTTATGCATTCACTCCGATGTGTGAAGGTTGAATTGTTTGATAAATCATTTTCAACTCGATATATCGACACGGCAATATGGTAACATCGAATCATTCATAATTCCCAGTTCTCCACTATTTTATCTCGCGGTTGATTTCTACTTCTTCGTTAACACCACTTTCTCCAGAATCTCACTTTCAATCGTTTCAATTATTTCAATTGTTTTCAATACCTCTCGAGATATTAGGAACATTGCGCCAGGAAACAGCTCTGCTCGTTCTTCAGGTGAAAAAATGTTCCATCAATTTATTTCCACGTTAATGAATTCATCACGCGATGATAATCAATCAATATAAACACCCTATCCCAAAATTTGGACACACTTAGTTTTTATTAAAAAAAGGGAATTATTTATGAATTTCCATCGACTTGGGTATTCAATTGAATATCAATAATACTTCTGACCCCCAAAAAATTCACTCTAATATTTGTCATATCACTTCTTACGCAAGCTCACCTATAATTTTTCTTTACTCTCGGCATAAAAAATAAGTTCCCTATCAACTTATGTGATTCCATCTAACATTAATCATTAACCGTTTTTTACCTGGTAATAGTGAAATGTCGAAATGGCAGCGTGTGTGTATCGCAATTTGTTGTGTGTGTGTCAAAATCACTGATTAATGTATCATTCTTTCTCCATTCTGCATGAAAGCATTCTCTTAGAGTCTGTACAATTGGGAATACACGTATTACATTACGATAAGCTCCTCTATAGCTCCTTGAAATGCCCCGTACGACAGTCTCGCGGCGTAATAACCACATTATCATCAATTACATCTCTCTTACCCCTCACACATAAACCCCCGCCGAAAAAAAACACCCCTGGATTCAGTACAATCATTGAACTATGTACAAGATTATTCATCTTTATCTTTCATTTTTAGCAAAACATATTCACTCTGATAAATTTAGCAACGTTAACTATCTAATTCCTTTATTACCAGAGTCGAGAAAGAGACGCATTATTATTTATTTTTTTCATTAATTCTTTAGGACAAGCAACACTTGATTGGGCGCCATACGAAAAGTTCGAAGACATTACATAGAAACATCATATCGACAATACGTATAAGCATGATCCCAACGATTGGAATCGTTTACACATTTCTCATTAATTTATGTTATTTATTATTTGCTGCGTCGATTGCGAATTATCGCCTGAAGCGTCACGTTTTTTTTCCATTTTATTTTATTTTTTTGGTTTTATCTTTTTCGTTTTCTGGATTTATCTTGAATTTTGTCTGGGGTTTAGTGAAGCCACCCAATCTCTCGACAGTGTTATCACTGGTATCTTGATATTTTAATAACGATTCGTAATCTTTGGGGCATTCTGCGTGCGCTAATGGGAGGATTGCAATCCTCTAGGGATTGGACTCCCATCGGGCAAGCTGAATGCGTCTCGTGTCCAACGAGGGCGATAGCAAGGACCTCAATGAGGCGCTTGGAGGTGAACCCCCGAAGTATTTAAGTGTCAACGGGGATTGGAGATGTCTGTGTCGTATCACCTCTCGCTCCGCAGGCAGTGACCACAGCTCCTGCATCCATTGACTTTATTCAATTTATTTTATCGATGGGTCTTACCACGTTTTCATGATACTGTGATCATTTGAGGATATTCAAGTACTTCCGGCAATCCTCTTTACTTTTCTTTCATCTCGCTCAATTTTTCGGTGATATCTCCGAAACCGCGGACTCTATCAAAATTTTTGTAAGTATCTTTTTTGTACAGCTAATTGAGACCTACAAGAAAGGTATTTACAAAAATTTTTTTAGATACCACAGTTTTCAAGATATCCCTGAAAAATGAAATTCTGTTCTGAAAATATGATTTAAACAACTCCGAATACTCTTTTATAGGTTCAAGTTGATGTCAATTAGAATAATAAACATGTATTGACCTGCAAAAAGTACATGGCTATCCTCAAGCAACAGATGCCGCCAGGTAGAGCCATTCAATCTTCCCAAATTGAAAAAAAAAGGGTCGAAATAAATAAAACAAATTGTAATTTAGCTGAATGGATCGACCTGGCAACCCGATTAATTACCCAATTACCTGCAGCGAGAGAGCCTCGTCTCAGGATTCACCCTGTTTATTTCTCCTCCCTGTGAGTGATCCAACAAGTGATTTCAACGTAGCACCAATACCCCGTCCACTCGGTGTACTAAGACTACTCGAATTCCTGAAACCCTGTGGATGAGCATCGAGGCACTTCTGATACCTCAGCTTGCAGGCAGCCTCAATAGTTTTACAAAGTGCTCCACTGCTCGGCTCACAATTGAATATATGTGCTATGAAGAGATCCTGTGCTGTGTGCATTATGAATGCACACTGTTTGACATTTCTTCCAATTCCAAGGAACGACAGATAGCGAACACGACACTCAGTTATCAGTTTGTCGTCCTAAAAAATTGATGTACAATTTGTGGGTAAATGTCAGTTGGGCTTTAGAGGAATTAATGTTGGGGTGGAGAGGGGGTGGAGGCAATCTCACAGCAATTTATGGGACATGGGGGAATGGGATTTGCGTGACTAGATGAAATTAGCTGGTGCGTGCAACTCACGTTTGGTGTCAGTATGGAGATCATGCTCGGTGCAACCGCAACGTTGACGTTTCGCCACTGATTGATCGGTGTGTTTGTTACTGTGTGGTCTATCGCATCGTTGAGAACTTCCATTCCTGAAGCTGCTGTTACTTGCATTGAACCGAGGTACTGAGCACGGAGAACTTTTTTTGGCTCCTCCATTGGGGTTGGGAATGATTGTGCTGTTGAAGAAGATGATTGATAATTAAAAGAATTTCTTTGGATTGAATTGGATTATCTAGGGGAATTTTTCAAATTTTCAAAACTCTACTGATGAAGAACTTACTGACGAGAGGCTGATCGTTTCTATGAAACCGACGGTGTTCCGTTGGCAAATTTGTTGGTCTCGTTGCGAGACTCGTTCTCCCATTGATATCCACTGGTTTCGCTAGATTCTGATGGAGGGAACGTTCGATCATTATCTTCTTGCAGATGTCACGTAAGGTATTGGCGATTGTGCGGGCGGGGATGTCGCATCTGAATACGTGACACATGAATTTACGGGTCGATCGGTCTCTCGCGACGTACGCAAAATCCCTGAAATCCAATTTCAATGTAAAATGACAAATCCAATGATGAATTCTCCATTCGATATATCAAAATCTTCCTGCATTTACCTCTCACTGTAGAATCCATTTGAGCAGAAACACAATAACGGTGAATTATTGAAAATTGTTAATTTGTAAAGAATAATTGGGATTTTTTGAACGTACCGTCCGTGATCTCTTCCAACTCCCCATACCCTGAGAGTGTGAATGGGTTGAGTGTTGAGGACTGTAAGATTTTCAGGATCGATCAGCTTCAGTGCTCCCTCATCGAGATCCATAAATAAATCCTTTCCCTGGATAAAACGACAAAGAATGCAAATTCATATCGATCATCACCGGATATAAATCGACTGGAAAAATGTTCTTACATCTCCCCAACGTCCCACAACATCCAGGAGATCGTTTCTCCCCAGTGACAGATCGACGATACACTTGTTAACAGCCTTGCTACTTCTCTCCGGTGTCAAATCTTCCTCAGCTATTTCCGTCCATCCGAGGGACCTCACCGCAAATCTAATCGGTTTGTCACGGCCCTCAGAATCCGCCCTAGCTGGGTAACTCCTTCTCTTCAATGCCAATTCCTCTTTCCGTTTGTTCTCCACTTCCTGGTCTAAGGCTGAACTTGTGTTACTTCGGGTTACTGTATTTACCATGCTACCGAGGGAGTGAAAGTTGGTGATCTGAATTGACAAAATTAAAGACCATCTCATTATTTTCAAAATCGATCAAAATTCATTTTAGAAAAAGTCATTTTCCTATCGTGAAAATCCTACATCAGACCGCTGGACTCTCAACATTTTTTTCCCTGAACCCCTGGCTAATATCCAATATATTCAACTCCTAGGTGACAGCGACCCCTTCATAAATATAAAAAAACATGAAAAACAAAGGAAAAGGATTGAGCAGAATTGAATTATGTGGACAGTTCAGAACAGGGAGTGAGTTCCATAATTTTTTCTAGACTGTTTCCTTGGAGGATAAAAATGAAACTCACACTGTCCTGGTCCTTAACAAAACTCTTGCGATTCTCGATCTTGGCATTGAGAGGTACTTCAGGTGGTTCTCTCTGTATGGTTCCACTCTTGATGTGCCAGTAGTAGGGGCCGTCCTTGTCTGTAAAACGAAAGAACGGAAGGCGCGTGTCAGTCACCTGTTGCGCTTCAACGAAAGGGGAGTTTTAGCCGATAAATTATTCGGAAGATCCGGGTGAGGCCTCGATGCGGAAACACCGAGGCCATCCAGAAGCCATAGTTACCGGACACAAGCCATTTGCCTTGGTCTAAACTTTTCGACATACCCTCGTGTTTCTCCCATCCTGCTGGCAGATTCTCGTCCTTCGTCTCCGAGTCCCTGGCGTCGATGATTTTGTCGGTTGTATTCGCCGAGGGGCTGGCATTCTTCGTCTCTTTCGGCTGTCGCCTCTTCACGGGAATTGCGTAGATGTCACCATTCAGGCTGTCCTCCACGTGGGGAACACCTCCCATCTCCGTTGGCTCGTTATCAGCTTTCTCGCAATAACTTCAATCAGAAGAAAAACAATCCATCATTCGATTTTCTGGTCTTCAATTGATAACAATTCACTCAATGAAACTCTGCCTGAAATCAGCAATAGATCGCTAAATCGGTTCAATCGATTTCCGTAGATATCTCCAAATCTATCAGAGATACCAAGATTTTTGTAATTACCTTTTTTGTAGGGCTGATCAGGATCTACAAAAAAAGTTTTACCCAAGATTTGGCTATCTCTCTTAGTTTCGGAGAAATCCCTAGGAAATTAACGTAAAACGTAAGTCTACCGGTTTGCTATATAGTGGAGTCATCATGATCTCATCCCCACGAAATGACGCTACAGCGAGAAAAATGAAAATAGCAAAAAAAAGCCAGTGCCAAAGATAAATAGCAGTCATTTACGAAAAAGCCCTGACAACTCCTCCCCAGTAATCATCACCGTTCGATCACCCGTCGTAAATGAAAATCGTTTCAATTTATCCAGATGTAGTACGACCCATTAAAATTCTTCGCAACGCCTAGATGAGACTGAACAATGAAATGGCGATAAAACGACAGAACCTACCCCTCATAATCAAAGGATTAGGGATCATTGAGTAACGATTGGTCGAGTTGCGCGATAGGCTAACGACACGTTTTCCTTGTTTCCAACGGGTGGTTATCGTCATTCTGTCTCGGGGAAATGACCAAGTGAATTTCCACCCAGGGCTTGGGAAACGATCGTAAGCTTTTATAGGCGTCATGGCTCGCGGTTCATTGGAATTAACGATAAAATCGGTGTGCGGGGGAATGAGCGGCCCATGAAATTCGCAGTGCAGGTGCTGCATGACTACGAATTCCTGGAGACGTCCTAAAGACGAAATGCTCACCTGAAATTTTCAAGCGCTACGTTCTTTTTTCAATTTTTTTTTTTGTTTATTTTGAAGCCTTGGCTCAAGCAGAATTATAACAAATTAGGTTATGGAATGGGGAAGGATGCAGTGATTAGTACGACTGTTTGAAGTACGTACTTTCTGACGTTGTGGTCTGAACTAGCGGCATCGAGGGTCGCGGATGACTTGGGCAGTGCTGATGACGGTGGAGTTGAATTCCCATTCAGATTGTCATCAACCAGCGTCGACTCCGCTATCTCCGCACCCTCGCTGCCATACCTGAATCACGCAGAATCACGTGGGAATTACTATTGCACTAGTTCAATTTTTTTCTTCCAGGAATTCCTAACAATTGGGTGGAATTCGCGATATATATCGATTAAAAAATTTTCCCAATTAGTTATTTGAGTCTGACTCTAACCGGAATTTTATTCTCTGAAACTGTAACAAGTGGTTCAAGTAAATCCTGTAAAATGGAGAATAAAAATCTAAAAACCTACGGGAAATAGCGATTTTTTTACTAAGACCTTTTTTGGAGAGATAATCAAGATCTGCAAAAGATGTAATTACACGCATTTCGATATCTCCTTTAATTGTGAAGATATGATTGGATTGGAAAAACCGATGGAATTGTAATTGTGATCGTAATTAATGAGGTAATGAAGGTAATTGGAGGTCGTTGATTTATGGGGAAGAGTGAAAAATAGATAAATATTTTCGCGCAGACGGAGAGATCTATTTGCCGTTGAAATTAACGATCGTAAGAGCGCAACCACTTATTACGCATTCGCTAATCGTGTTGGCATCAAAAGGATTAAACGAAACATCCACCGAGTGGAGCTCTCTGGGTTTTTATTTTATTTAGGAAGTTTAGTAAACTTCTGAGCGGCATTTTGCTGGATACAGTCTCTAATGGAGATACTCTGCCTTGGGTCTGTTCAACTGCAAAGAGTAAATAGAGAATGCCACATACACGGCGACCCCTTTCATCTGAATTCATTTATTTCGTTGTAGTCGATTGTCATTTATGTTCTCGCCATAATGGACTTTTGAGGAGGCTCTTGGGAAACCGCAGGTGCATCTCTTTGCCGTTCCGGGCTTTCACACCTCCCACAATAATTACTATTTTTTTCGAAGGGAACGTGAAAAATTTCACACTCAATGTGTTATTTGAAACCCAAAACGCCAATTTAGGAATAACTCACATCGTTACGCTTTTTTGTCAATTTTTTACGTCAGGTTTTTTCCTTTTCGATATTTATTTAAGTAAAAATTCATTTGCTGCGTTCTGCGCATCGCTATTCCATTCAAATATCTTAATTTCCCAAAAAATCCATTACAACTGCAAAGTCCCATTCTCCGTCCCCAAAAAAAAATTAATACAGAACTTGAAAATTCCCATGAATATTTTCTTGCCTTCAATTCTCACATTAATCTCCACAAAATCCAAAAAGTCAGAATTCTTGAATTCCTGAGAATTCGCTTCAATTTGCAACTGAATATTCGCATTAAGGAAAAAATGCAAGTGCCCCAACAAATTCTCCTGACCTTTAACTGAAGCCTGAATTAAAAAAAAATTCTTCAATCCACTCAATTTTTTTATTCGGGATGCGCATTTTTCATAATTTATTTCCGGTGCGTTGATCATCTTAATGGATGCCCATTATCAAACGATAAAGGAGTTTATCTCATTCTCTGGTTCTCTTCCATTGGATTCGGCACACGAACGTCAGTACAGAATGTACGGCGTCGTTGGCGTCGGAACGATCAATACGCACGGCACCGGCGCAACACCCCCTTTCACCCCCAGCAAAACTTATTCATCCCTCTCTCTTTAACTCGTCGGTACACCCCCCTCCCCACCCATCCGAGGCCGTCTCCCCATTTTCTCGTTTCCCACTCGTACAACCCCACGTCAGTCCCGACGTAACACGGGCCCCAAATCATCCCCTCACACTCTCAACCCTAGCCCAACCCTCGCCCAACCTTCACCCAACCCTCACCCTTCCTCGGGCGCTTTGCCACTTCTGGGGGAGTACTAGACGGTTTCAAAGTTTTCGCTATCGAAATACCAGGGGTCGATTGTCCCCCTCCACCCGCTATTCCTTCATTCGTTGATCACCCGAAGCCTTTAGTAATTAAGTTTATGTTGATTTATCAGACCCCCTCTACTGCATTCTCGGAAATGTAAAAACAATATATTCTGATGTGGTTTTGAGAAGAATATGTATGTATGGAATACATAGAATTGCACGATTTTTCATTAATTTTTTCAGGAGAATCCGGAGATTTTTTTCCAATTTTCACATTTTGACAACTTTTTATGCTTTAATTTTCATTATAAAAATTATATATTGATATTGAATTTATTGATCGCAATATTTTTTTTTTGATCATATGAACCGAAAACTGGAATTACATGAATTTTTCAAAAAATCACGTGACTTTTCAATTTAAAAAATGGAGATGAATGTGTTGTAAATGTAAAAAGGCAAAACCTTCAGTTTTTTCAACTTGAAATTCCACAAATAATAAAGAGCCACGGAATGAAAAAAACCTCTGACATTTTCCCGAGAACCAGTAGTTTCAAACCCATTGGCAAAATGACCCACAAACACAGTGAAAAATTATCTCCATTCCTCCACAATTATTTCCCCCTCTTATGCGAGGTTATTTTCGCGCACGACAAAGCCATAAAAAATTCCCATAAACCCGAACCCCCACTTCATTCCCAAAAAAAGAAAAAAAAATCCAGTGGACCTGTAGAAAACACGAAAATTTCGGCTATTCCTGTTTCCACCTACATTTGTTACAAACACTTTATGGTAACGCAGATATAAAAGTTTGCGATAAATGTTGGAGAAAAAGTCGGTAGTTACGGTTCTGGGTTCATGACTGGGTTTCTGCAACTGTAAGCCAAATCGTAAATCACTCGAGACAAGGGAGCAAAAAGTTTTTTCGGAGAGAAAAAAAAAATATGTTGCATTCACTGTGAAATATATGTATATACTATTACATTATATTTCACGTCACGAGCCATTTCTCGAGTACGTGGACATCAAATGCACATTTCGTTGGATCTCATCAATTTCTTTTTTATTTTTCCGAGTGATTTGCAATCGATTTGGAGGGACGAGAGTGGGAGAGCGGATTTTGGCTGCAAACCTTATCAAGCTTCTTATCTGGGGCTCGATTAAGAAAAAGTGCAGGTGAAAGATAGAAACAGAAATGACGCTATAGGAATTGTCATTTGAGCCTCCAATAATTTCTGTGCATTTATTAAGACATCAATTTTTTATAAAACATATTCCAGAATAAAATGAGTAAAAAGTCGTAATGATAAAAGGATTTCTAATTAAATACATCGATCTTTGTGGCTGTTGATCTAATTTCGCTAAAAGAAACACATGTTGAAAGAGCCGAGAGAGGAATGTGAGTGGGACGTAGAATGAAATTCCATTTGTAGGATTTATGGATGAGACAGGAGTATGTGCCGAGTGTGAAAGTACTCGTAATTTCATAATGCACCTCGGGATGTACCTGTTTGAAGTTTTGTAGTACAGCTGAAGAGCCAGTGGAAATGGTCTTTGGTCGTCAGACATTTTATTGATGTTTATTTTCGTCCACTCGAGGGAATTCTCTTGAGGTAGGGGGCCCTCTCGTAAAATAGTTTATCGTGCTTAATAACATTTTTTAATGGTTATTGATCCCGAAGGGGTGAGAGAAAAGGGGTTGGCAGTTTAACCCCAAGTAATTTTTAGGAGTCAGTGGTACGTCAGGGGCTGGTGCACTCCTCAAAATATCTCGACCGACTTTCAAGATAAAATTTGAGATCCGATCTCGGTTTCGAGACACTTGAGAGTCAAGATGATATGCAGACGTCGGTCTTATCGATAGAGTGGATTTATTTAAGGGCCGTCACTTTTTTTCTCTTTCAATCTATTTTTTTTCCAGAGGTTTATTGATGTATCCGGTGTATTTTTGTCGGGACTTTTTTTTACACCGAGTGCAATCGAAACTAGAGAGCCTCAAATGTTCATGGGAAGTTCAATATCTCGTTTTTATTTGCGAATATTGGAAAAGTGAAGTTGAAGTCCTATTTTTATTGCAGCACTGTCGAGGATTTCGCTTTGTTGTCTGAAGTCGGTATTAAATCGATAAGTTTTCCTTTCGCAATAAACATTTGTTTACAATTAAATAAAGTTAATAAAGTAAATATTCAATGTCAATTATTGAAAAGGGTGAAATTCAATTTAATCGCGAATTTCAAGGAAAGCCCCGCGTTTGCGTTGCCGGAACTATATGCAACCCGATAACATCTGTGAAAAATTAATAATTAATGATTTATTTATTGCAATGACTTACAGTCAGCTCCCGGTGCTCTGGATATCGCCAGCTATCGGAATCCGAGGCACTAGCTCGACCTCCACTAAACTCGGATTATTATTCATTTAAAAAAAAAGCCGTATTCTCCGTCGCTGAAAGTATTGAACTGTTTTTTTTTTTCACCACACGTTGTAAACGCCCAGTAACTCGTGTCTCACCGGCGTTCGCTCAATAGCTCAAGGACCACTGGTGTAACGAGTGAGTAATGATTAACCAGTGATTCAAGTACTTTCACACTGGGCGTCATTGAAAAAAAAACACGCGCTCTGGAGTTCAATTGATTCTCCAATTGATTAATAATTGTTCGATGTTATTAGATATCACGAGGGATGGGGCATGAAAAATTGTGGAAAATGCCTGGATAAGTCTAGGATGGCGCAGTGGCTGGAGAGAGACTGAATCGCTCGTGCAGGGGCTGACCAGCTTCGGGTGAACTCGTCAACACTCGGTCACAGTCGTTCCGCCCAGTGACGTCATCGTGCCGTACCATCGCATGTCTCTACTACTTGAATTCTGCGGACTATGCAGTCCACCAAGTCGATTAATCGAAAAACAAAGTATACTTTAATTATTTAAGTTTTTGTATCGATATACTTGATTCAAGTTGATACATTGTACTTGGCATTGTTTAATTGTTGGACTTTATAAAGTGCAAAATTCTCGTTTACTTGAATCAAGTATAAGTTAAAAAGAAAAATGATGGAAAAAAAATTGAAAATATTGAAAATATTTTTGTCTACAGATAGTTGAATCACTTTATTTATACTTGATTCAAGTATTCAAGCATTTAAGTATGCGCGTTGTACTTGAAATGATTATTTAATCGATTTTTTAATATTTTGGCTGAATTTTCTAGAGGAAAATTTGAATGAATAAATCGAAATAATAATAAC